TACATAGGTGATACAATGTTGTGCCAGCAATCACATATACTCATTAGTATAGATACTCAGTAGTCAAATTCTACTTCAAGATTATATAAATAGCTGCCCGTGGGAGTCGTAATTGTTTTTGCGGTTGTTTTTATCACACTGAAATTTGTTATGTATTGTGAATAGTTTAAAGCGAGAGGGTTGTCACCTGCGCACGTGCGGGAATTGAGTCCCAAGCGATGATAACAACACACTTTAAAAACGCAAAGGCATATGGGTAGACGCTTGTTTGTAAACAACGACACGCTATGACCATCTGACGCACGCGCAGGTGACGACTCTCCCACTTTAAATTAAGCTATACCTCATTTTACTTTGTAAATTATGTTAAATTTTAAAACTCAAGAAAACTTCTTATGAGGAAATATTGATTGAAAATTATAATTGTATTACGGACTGCTTTCAATGCAGCCAATCTGCAATAATGAGAAACCCTGAAGATGGAAACGCATACTTTTTACTGGTACATGTAAATCAGCAAAAGATTAGTCCATTAATTTAATGACAAATTTACCCACATTACTGATACATGCGTGTGTACAATGTTTGGATAAATCCTTACTCTGCAAAATAGCATTGCTTCCCATATGAGATAAACTCTAAGATGGCCATTTAAATTTGAAAATTCAATGTGGGAATTGGAAATCTCACTTTCATTTCTATGCTAATGTCGTGCTTCATTCTCGAGACCTTGTCTGTAACTTGAGTAAATCAAAATTCCTAGCACGTCCTGGGTTATAGCTCTCCCACTTCACTCTGTAAACAGCTATAATTGTATTATTGCTTATTCATTTAAATTTAACTTGCCTTTATTAACTTTCGCTGACTCTATTATAACATAATTGTGAAGTATTGTGCTTGTCTTACGTTATGTTTTTATTGGAGCACTCACCTTAACCTTTAGTTTGTATTGTTACTTGGCACGTAGTTACTACTTCCACATAGCAGGATATTTCACTCAGGGATTCATAGTGTCTCACTTCAAAGAAATGTTTCTATATACAATGATCATTGGTTCCGTTATTGAATTCATAATTAAATCAATGCTCCCTGTATTATTATTATTAATTGCTGGGGTGATCAATATTGTTTATTTTAACTTTTATTGGATGATTCTTATCATTACATAATCTTTTCACAATACTTGTTTGTACTGATAATGATAAAAGTACCAGTATATGGGATAAAATGTTGCTGTCATGATCGTTGTTGTCGTCGTCGTCGTTAACATTTTCCCAGTGGTCATGATAATTATTCTGTATCTAGTCACACTTCAATGATTATATCTTGAGCATACACTCTTTACCATATTTGGTGTTGGTACACACCATATTTGGTGTTGGTACACACAATTTAATACATTGGTTGTAGTGTACATGTAGTTAAGACATTGTGACAAAAAAAAAAAAACATTTTGCGTGGGTAGATACTATCAAATATTCTGTATTAGGAGTGAATCGTCAATAAAAGCATATTTGAGTTATATTATAATTGACTAATTATCCTCATTTTTTGTACTGCTTTCACTGAATATGACGATAATGATATCTGAGTCACCTATTATCATGAGTACAAATCCAACAAAATTACAGACTAAATTTCTTTTAATATTGAATTTGTACCATGGCCAGAGAATACTAGATTTGTTCATTTTGCGACGCTATTAAACTATTTTGAAATTAAAATACTCACTTCTTATTTGAAACCAAATTGTTTGGTCAGTGTATATATGTTGGGTTTAATATTCTCATGAATTCTGATTATTCATCCTATGATAGACACTCAGGACACAAGATGGCAATACTACTATGTTGAGTTGTTGTATACAACAGTGAAATATTATAATCCCAAAATTGAGCAAATGATCCCCTAACCACATCTAACTACCCGACCCTGTGAGGAAATTCTAAATTTGCAGTTTTTAGATTCATCAATGTTAGTATTTGCGGATAGATATTTTTCAGGTATTCTGTAAATAGATGTCTGAACACAAGTGAATTGTACTGGTAAGGATGCTGGCACTTAACTAATAGTTTCTTGACATGTCTATCCATTTAAAGGATTTAAAGGTTTTTGATTAATCTACAATGTAGCAGGTTAATTATTTGTGCAAATCTGAAATGTGATTTTGCATTCACTCTGGGATCTTGCGATTTGTGTAAAATGCACGGACCGAATATCTGTCGCAAAAAAATATTTTACCCTTTTTTTTTGCGTTTCAGAAAAAAACATTATCAGCTATCGATAAAATATTTTAAAACTTTTCACCAGTAGGAAGTAATCAACACAAGAGCCCTCTAGTAACAAAAAATACACATAGTAAAAGTCTTGTGGTGTTTCAGCACAAAATGGCAGTATGAGGGTACAGAGATACTTTCTAACCGCAAAGAACTCTGGGAAGAAGAATGTGTCTATTGCTCTCTAGTCTATCAGAGTTACATTGATGCAATATTCAATGTTAATATCTGATATGCAATCCCTGAATGATTGCCTGCTGGAAATATAACATTTTATGATTTTACATTATTAAATGGTATCTATTTATGATTCAGAAACAACCACAGAGTAAGCATTAAAAGGTCCTGTACAATTTGAACAGTATGTGTTCCACAGCTAAATGTTAGTTTATCGACCAAATTGCTATAGGTGTTTCAATACTATCTCAATCGCTGTGTTTACCAATTAAGTTTCTCGAAAAACCTGTGGGGATTCCTCGTTATTCACCCTAAATCATCAAGTCTCATATTTCACTCTATATGGAGCAAGCTATTCCATCCATCAAGGTAGTGAGTCTTGTCCTGGTGATGTACATGATTTATATATATATATGGTTGGCATCATTGCGACTATAATTGGGAGTAGCCTAAAACGACTGCTACTGCGGTGGCGTATGTGTAATTTAAATAATAGCCTGCTTGGCCAACAATGCATACAATGTTTGCTGGGTTTTACTAGATATAATGTTGGTACGAAAGATAAGATTCCCAAACCAAATCAGTTAATGGTATTTTATTCATTAAATATGTATATGATAAACAATTAAGGTCAACTCGTACTTTTTTTTTGGGATAAAAAATGAATCCAGACATGGACGATTGTTTCATCTGAGCTCTGTGCACTGACTGCTGTGCACTGACTGCTGTGCACTGCATGCAAAATTCTACACTCCCATTCAACTGCTCGTATATACATCTGTGAATAGGGTTATAAAGGCGGCAGGTGTCATCTGGCAGAGGAAATTATCATATCTCAAAATATGAAAGCTTTCCAGTTGAGTTGTACGTACATGTTCATAAAAATAGATGACCTATGATAGCCAATGTCAGCTACTTACTGGATGAGTTGAAGATCCGAATCATCACTGATATCCTCACTGGGTTACAGTTGTATCTAGGTCACATTATCTGCAATGTTATCTGTATAATCCATTCAATGATAACTAAAGGAATGGTTTAAACTGGCCTGGTCGTAAACTTGCTGTCAATTGTATTACCAGTGCATGCGGTTTATTTTGCAGTGCATTTTGGTAAATCCATTTTTTGATTTGTGAGAAATATTTTTACCTGCTGTGTGCTAGGAGCCTAAATTGAGTAAATATGTGTGTGTGTGTGTATATGTGTGTGTGTATTTGTGAGCAAGCTGTTCAATATCTCAATAAAGGCTTTAATATTCCAATATATTATCACATGAGAAGCTCTACTGCATATTTATGCATATTAATCATCTAATTTGCATAATAAATACCATTTTGTACATGTTCTTTCACCGCGACTACCTACCTTCCTAACAAATTCTAACAAAAATTCATGATAACTTTCCTATCACAAATTTACACTTTATGAAATAACATATGCGTCGGAGCAAGTTGAAAATCCAGGTTTACACTTATTCATGAGTATACATTAGTCACTTTTTAAGTGTGCCCTCTAAAAGACATGATTTTGACGGAATTCAGAGTCAAAATGGAATCTCCACAAATCAAGTTGAGTCAGCTTGTCTTCAAGAGTAAAATATAATTGTATGGGACTCCATAGATGACTTGAGTACCAACAAAAATTTTGTGGCCTCTGATTTCCTTTGTTTTTACACTTATTGGCTTTATAAAAAGTGAATTTTATTTCACCAAATTACAAATTCTGCATCTATATGGACAATGTTTTTCAAATTCACTATATCAATGTCAATGTCAATGATGCGCTTGTGATTTAGCACAAGTAGTTGCATCACAGCAAATCTTTGTATATCAGTGACGCGTCATATCTACTTAGAGGGCACACTCCTAATTTTACAGTTTAGTTGGATATTCCGACAACTCTAATTATACCTCCCCTTCACTCTCTCCTATTGTGGATCCTATAGTAGTCGCCGTGGATGTAGAAATCGTGCAAAATGTGCTAAAAATTCATTTCAAATCCATGCATGTTGTTTTCCTTGTTTTGTCATTCATATCATATTGCATTGCTTTCGTTTATTCATGTACTTGTTGTTCTGTCAATCTGCCGCCACTGAAAAATATATATCTGAAGATGCCGAACTAAGCGTCTGCATTGTGGCATGTGGGAAAAAGTAAGATGTAGTCATGGTGATGGAACTCTCCTGTAAAAGCCTGGGTTATAAATAACTAAATTTGTTGCCATCGATTCATGTTTTATACTTATTTTACCATCTTTTATTACATGCTTCTCACAACCCTCTCAGGTGGTTGTCTGTTTAACACTGAGTTTCACCTCATTTGTATTTTATATGGTTGATTCCTATTTGTAAGTAGGAACTTTTTCAACTCTCTACGTGTGCACCCCGTCGTCGGCATGTGCATGCTCGGCAAATTGTCCTGTCCATCTTCGTCCACCGTACCACGTCTTGTCACATACTTCCAATGTGTTGGTTTATGAATGTATATGTTGTCACTGTTGTGTGCATTTTTTAGTCTTCGTTTTTTTTATACTTTATCATTATTTTAGGTACTGGTAATATTTCTGCTGTCTCTAGCATCTGTTGGTGTGTATATTTTCCAAGCGGGGCAGTAAGTACAGCCTAAATAAATAGTGACTCCAAATTGGTAATATACATAAATCAAAACCCGTTATTTTGGATTTTTTTCAAACTAATTTTTAATTAAAGGAACAGTTATTCACTAATCATCATTTTCATTACATCCAAGTCATCATTCATTTTGTTGCTATGGTAATATTGAAAAAAACTTCTGGTCATATTTGTAAGAATTTTACAAATAATATTGTTTCCTTTTTGAAAAGTAATTCTAAAAAAAGCCATGAAATTTAGGACATCCGCGAATTATAAAAATGTATTCCAATAATATTATGCCTCGTTAATAATTAACATTCTGGTAACAAATCAACGATTGAAGCAGGATTTCATTATTATTAGATCTGTACCTAGCATTATCCCTAACATTCATCAATAAAAATGTAATATTTTGCTACATTTGGCTTCATAACGCTAAATGTTCATTTACATGTATTCCACTCATATGATTTTTCGCAACCACAAATCAGTACAAAAGAGTTGGTACAGTTGCAATAAAAAATGCCTACCTATCTCTATTGAAAAAAATATTAGTCTTTGGGTGCTCATTTGGTAAGGGTCCCCTAGAAAAGTGTTTGTTGTCACTTATTAATATTCTGTGTGTGTTGCTCGTTATATGATGGTCGCTATTGGCAGTCATGCGTGAAGACTTGGTGCCAGCTCTCGTTATTAAAAGCACAGCAACAAATCTTAATATTGCCAGGCTGTTATAAAACTACAAATTGATGTTTCCTGTGGTTACGGGTTCTACATATATGATCAGAGTAAACTTCATCTCATTTTCATCTGATATAGATACACAATCACAAAAACTGCTTTTTTCCCGACATATTCACGTTATTCATCGAATGTTGCTGGGCTAATCATATATGCCAACATTTTTGTGCTCGTTTGATTAAAAAATTTCTCTATTAGATGTAAATACTAATAAATGATTGAAAATAAGCAGTTGCATGCCAGACAGCATTTTGAATTTATCTTCACTTTTCAAATATTAGACTATGTAATTTAGTTCCGTGTAAGCAAAAATTTTAATTATTTTGCGTTAACTCCATGTTGCATGATGCTTGTTAAAGTCTAGTGCATGTCTGTTGTGTTTTATAATCATGATATTTAACAAGTTGTTAAAGTATACAATATATGTGTTCTACTAACTCATTATTCTTCAGCACTGAAAATTTACAAGAGGATACTTATTACTTACTTGACATCAGTTTGGAATTTTGCAGAATGTCAGCTTCGACATAATTGGATTCTCATTGTCCAATGAGAAGTGCTTATAATTATACAGTACAAAATGTAGCTATATACATGTATGGTCATAAAAAATACAAACAAAGTTGTTACCTTTTGTTTTTGTTCTGCAAACATGGACAGTTCTTGCTCAGTTTCATGCAAATATTACCTTGTACTGTAAAATACTTTTTAGCTTGAATTGATTTTCGCTGAAAAGACTTTTTCGGTGTTTTGTATGGAATTTATTTTCACTGATTTTTAACAAGTTGAGTGTAAAATATAGGAAACAGGGAATATTCGCTGGATTTTAATTTCACTGAATCATTCGTTCAGTAAAAATAGCGAAAATTAGTTGTAAAAAAAAATAAAGTATTTTACAGTACATATAGGTCTGTTGCAACTTGTTTGTTGTTATCCCATATATATAAAATGAAGCATTTCATTTTTGACAACTTATAAATTATTTTATAAATTCTCACACATAGAAACTGCGAAAGTTTTCATATTTGGAAATTATTATTAAACTATACATTGTATATTATTGTTATTATTATTGAAAACTAATTATTTGAAAACAAACAATTCAGTTCAAATAAATGCTTTACTATTATATTGTATACATTTTATATCTCTTGTTGATGTACGTGTTTCTTATTATCAATGGTATTTTACCAACAGGCCTATTGAGAGGTGTTTCGATGTTGCCAATGATTTGGTATGGCAAATAGATCTTAGTTTCAACTTGGTGTTCTTGATGTACTTTGGTTTAAGGGTGAGTATTGTTTTCACTGTGGACATACGGTATAATCTTTTGTTTATTTTGCATTACCAGTACAGCATATAAACCATGTACTGTAATGTCAGTTGTGTCAGGTGAAACACCTCTACATGTGTCAACAACATTTTGAGCCCAGGAGAGTGACAAGTTAATGCATACCTTGTCATAGTGGACAATGCTTTAATATACCATCTTCTGGATGATATCATTGCTTGACTGTATGCCCTGAGGTCTATATCTCTCTATCACTGTATTTATGGATGCTTTGTGTTGACCATTTGGGCAGGATAGTGACCAGTATGCACTCACATAGCACATGGCTTTATAAATTTATATAAACAATAATAAAACTATAGATATTGTGTTGACACCATTTGGGCAGGATAATGACTAGTATGCAGTCACACATTGTCTTATAAATACTGTATCAACAATATTGCCTTCAAATGTTGTGACTGTGATAATGTTTTGTAATAAAACCACAAGACATTGTATTGACACCGTTTGGGTAGGATAGTGTATAAATCACACAGCATTGTCATACTGTATGGAAACAACATTGCCTTCAATATATATTGTACATTTGTTAAGGAAATCTTAATTAATTCCACCAGTAACTCAAAATCATTGTATGGATGCATATTTTGTTTACAGTTCATTGCTGCAACTGATAGATTGTGGTTTTGGTTAGAGCTGAATTCTCTGGTAGATTTCTTCACCATTCCACCCATATTTGTTTCTGTGTATCTGAAAAGGCACTGGATTGGTAAGTTACAATGCTATGCATTATTAACACCGAGAAGCACTTAATATTTAAAATGTAAGATGTCGGAATATTATATGCCATATCGATATCATGTGTACGTGTTCGGCAAACTATGAAAGTGTCATGGTGATTTCGTTGTTATTAAAAAGTAATTTGATTGTATTTAATATGTATCATATGTAGTTTCCTAAATAATTCAGTAGTGAAACCCCATTATAGTTTGGGTTTTACATTGTTGTATGTAGTGTGTTTGTCAGCCCCTGCTGGGCATAGTCGAAAGGCTTATTAAAAGTTGTACTGTGTTTTTGAGAAACATTTACCAGTAGTGAAACCCCAATATAGTTTGGTCTCCATATTCTGTATTTTTAGCTCCGCTTTCATTGAAGCTGAACGAGCAAAGCTCATGGGTTGACTGGACCTGTCGTCGTCTTTCCATCGTACGTAGTATCGTACGTTGACTGTCAACTTTTATTCAAACGATTTCTTCTCCCAAACCGTAAGCTAGATCACTTTGCTATTTATAGCACAGCTACCTGTGGTGGTCCTCTGTCAAATTTGTTCATTTAATTTCATTTCAGACATCACATCCAAATCTCTATTCTTAGGGAATATTTTTGTCATTTTTGGTCAAAATGAATTTTTTCACAGCTGTTAGTCAGATTGCATTGAAATTTGGCATGAATGTTTTTGACATGGACTAGACGCTGACTTCATTTCATGAGACCATATACAAGTGTCTATTTTTAGTATATATTTTGGTTTTTTGTGTGCTCATTTTGCATGTTATTGACTTCTTCTCCAAACCCGCCTGCCAGATTGCTTTGAGATTCATAATCTCATGGATGAGTCCTCTCTCAAATTTATTCATTTGGTGAAGATATCTCTATTATTGTGAAAGTTATGAAGTTTTTTGGTGAATATTTATTTTTTATTACTTTCCCATATATTATATATGGGCTATGTATAATACATGGACTGTAATAGACAAGTCTATTGTTGGGTTCTGAACTACCAGGGCCAATGTTTTTCAATAATGTTTAATTTCAGGTCAAGGTCATTTCGGTGTTTATACGTTTTGCTGCTATTAGACAACTGTAACAGTTGGAAGGTAGTCTTTTTCAGTAGACATTGTGTTGGGTTCTGAACTACCTGGGCGAATGTTTTCCATGGTATTTTTCAGTACACATTGTGTTGGGTACTGAACTACCTGGGCCAATGTTTTCCATGGTATTTTTCAGTAGACATTGTGTTGGGTACTGAACTACCTGGGCCAATGTTTTCCATGGTATTTTTCAGTACACATTGTGTTGGGTTCTGAACTACCTGGGCCAATGTTTTCCATGGTATTTTTCAGTACACATTGTGTTGGGTACTGAACTACCTGGGCCAATGTTTTCCATGGTATTTTTCAGTACACATTGTGTTGGGTACTGAACTACCTGGGCCAATGTTTTCCATGGTATTTTTCAGTACACATTGTGTTGGGTACTGAACTACCTGGGCCAATGTTTTCCATGGTATTTTTCAGTACACATTGTGTTGGGTACTGAACTACCTGGGCCAATGTTTTCATAGTATTTTTCAGTACACATTATATTGGGTTCTGAACTATCTGGGCCAATGTTTTCCATTGCATTTTTCAGTACACATTGTGTTGGGTTCTGAACTACCTGGGTCAATGTTTTCATAGTATTTTTCAGTACACATTGTGTTGGGTACTGAACTACCTGGGCCAATTTTTGCCATGGTATTTTTTAGTGCACATTGTGTTGGGTTTTGAACTACCTGGGCAATGTTTTCCATAGTATTTTTCAGTACACATTGTGTTGCGTACTGAACTACCTGGGCCATCACTGATCACAGCCTATCAGATTACAGATTTATTAAATCTGCAATATTGCATAGTTCTCTTTTAATCTCTATTCTATTTTGAATTTTAAAAATCTTGTCCTGACTGGCCATATCATACTCCACAATCTCCATTTCTTCAAACTGGTAATAGTACAATAACCAGCTTCTTTTATGGTGCCAAATTTTATCAACATCGCTCCACCCTACGTTTCCAACTCACAGTTAGCAATTACAACAGTGCTCTCTCGACTGCAAGGTCGCTTGTTTAATTAAAATATGGGATTGTGTTTTTGAGAAAAATTTACCGATATTACTTTTCAAAAATAGAATGCTAATAGGCAAACTCTGACAACATCAGAATTCTCAAGTAAAATTACTTTTCCAGGAAAAACAAAGGGGACAAACACCACAGATGGATCTCAAATATTTGAAACTGAACGTAAATAACTTAATTAAAAAAAATATCAGTTTCAGGAATTCTAACATTTTGTATTATTCTTTCAGTTTGTTTAAGTTACTGAAGTGGTCCTGATTTATATAGAAATTCGACATTGATGAAATACATGATCAATATATTGTCGGGTAGCATGTGCAAAATCTATGCACAGCCAAGTATGAAATTATATGTATCCAATCAGTGGTACTTTGGCTGATAACAAGACAATATATAACACTGATATATGATTAGCTAATTAATTATCCCATACTTCATGCTGGTAGCTTGTGTCCTGTGTTAATTTAATACATTGAAGCTTTGAATTCACTGTTATATATATTTTGTCGAGCTCACTTGGAGTACAAATCAAATTGAGTAGATGATTGTAAAATATATCTTTTCGCAGATTTTAATTTGTTGAACGATAATAAATTATTGTGAATGATTAAAAATTAGTGAATGACAACTCAGCCATTTTTTGTCAAATTATACATGCATTAAATATTTGACAGCTCCAACACAGAAGTGGAAATCTATAAAAGGCACACTCGAGCAGAGCAAATTTGTTTTTCTTAAATTCTTGTGTTTCTGTTTCTATTAATTTCTTGTTAATATTTTATAGTGAAATCCTATCAGGTACTTATTTATTGATAATAGAAACTGTCCACAGTCCGTTGGGCACTTGCTGCAAGCTCATTAAATAATTAAATAAGATTAATGTGTGAATGGAATCATACTTTCCTTTGTCGATTTCTTGCTAACACTCATTATTTGACAGCTAAAATAGTCCATGTTATGAAGCAGCTTTGCAGTGCCACTTCTCTCAAGAAACAATAAGTTCAACCAAGTATAAAAATATAAATATGTGTGGTATTAGTGAAATAATTGTAGTATGGTATGAAATCTGATTGCCTTCTGCTTAGCTGGGACATGTGACTGACCCATTTCATGCAGGAGATGGTCAAGGCTGCTCATGTTCATTCCAATGATGTCAAATGAATGTGCATCCGCTGAAACTTAATTTGATATTGATCTGCAATTTTTTTATCAAACTGTGCACATATGATTATATCTGTGCACAGTGGTGAGCACCTACACCGTAGCTGTTCTAAATAACAATGGATGGTTGGTTCATGCCATGATAATTCTATGATCTGCATTCCTCTTTGTGACCTTTAACGTCCACTTTCAAAGTATATAAAAGTAATTTTAATAGCAGCTATGACAAAATTCATCCTAAATCACATCAAGCATTCACAAATATAATCCTCCTTTAATATTTGCCTATATTAATTTTCCCAAACAGTATTTAATAGACAAATTGCTCCCATGTTTTTACCCCCAACTGGACAGTCTGGAAGTTTATGGATTGGCTTCCATTTCCTGTTCGTTTATCTGTCTATTTGTTTGTTCATCCATTCATGAATTTGTCAGTCAGTCAGTCAGTCAGTCAGTCCTCTCAAAAGTTCATGGACCGATTTTTCTTCAACTTGGTACATGGTTTTAATATACATGATGGTAGAGATATATGTATATGCATGCCGCAGATTTGTTTTTTTTTTGTTCATATTCAAAATGACTAACAAGGGGCCATATTTGGATATATTTTTCAAGTGGTGCTGGTCGATTCTGTTCAAACTTGGTATTGATAATATGAAGCTATTATTATACATCTTTTCCTTCCAAATATACATCATGTGAGTGACGAAATCCAAAAAGTTTAGAACAGAATCATGTAACTTCTTTGTGCGGAGTCCGGTCAAACCCTAGTGGCAGCCATGTTTTGATTTCATTATTAGAGAACGTTTACGCGCGTAATCGTTCCATATTTGGAATTCGTATTTAGTTATATGGTAGGATGAAAATACCCCGTAAAATAGCGCAAAATTGCAGCACCCTAGTAACTTAAGGCATCATGGTGACAGATGTATAATACTGGGTAATACTTTTTAACTTACTGGGCACATCCATTATTTATCAGTTTTTTTTTTAAATTGGCCGACTGGCCGTCTTTTTGTACGTCAAAAATACTTGCTTATATTTTCGTTAAAACTTGATAATACAAAAACAAAACAGCCCATTTGTTTTACATTATGCCAACATAGACATTGGAGACTCGCAGATAGTGTGTTGCCTTGCCGTCCTTTAGTTCACATCATAGAACATGCGCTTGTAAAAAGAGAACCATATGAATGCTGACATTTCATTTGTCAATATTAAAATACAAAAATCGAGGGGGTTATGACATTTCAATGGCTTGTTAAAATAAGTACTATATTTTCTTTCTGGGAAATGTAGCAGAAATAAAAGCATACGTTTGTTCATTTGTTGCATTATGTATATTGATTGATTGACATTGTGCTTGATTCCATGCAATTTTTTATGTCTTATGCAACAATTGTTTTGACATGAAAGTATGCAACCATACTGAATTACTTTTACATGATTGTCTCCTTTGATTAATTATAATAACTCCCGTGTGCGAAGCCCACAATGGGAGTCTTTGCAGTTAGTTAGTTTGTCTGTCTGTATGTGTGTGTGTGTGTGTGTCCACTGTTCCACTGATATCTCAAAAACTATACTTCGGTTTTTGATGAAACTTTGTGCATAGATGCTCTGGGCCAATACGCAGATTGGATTAGGTTTCCGTAGAAAGCCTTGCATATTAATTACCTAATTTGCATGATAATTTGCTCATTTTTAGCCGGCCTATGACTGTTCCACTGATATCTAAAGAACCGCTCATTGAATTTTGATGAAACTAGGTACATGAATGCTCTGAATTTATGCGCAGATTTGATTAGTTTTTGGTAAAAATCTGTGCATAGTAATTACCTAATTTGCATGATAATTAGCTAATTTTTAGCTGTTCCATGACTTTTCCACTGATATCTAAAGAACCACTAATTGAATTTTGATGTAACTCGGTTCATAGATGCTCCGAACTAATGCCAGGTTTTGATTATTTTTGGTGAAAATCTGTGCATATTAATTACTTAATTTGCATAATGATTAGTAAATCTTCGGCTTTTCCACTGATATCTCAACTACTTGGTACCTAGATGTCAAAGGACACTGCACAGACCTGGTAGTTTTGATTAGTTTTTGGTAAAAATCTGTGCATAGTAATTACCTAATTTGCATGATAATTAGCTAATTTTTAGCTGTTCCATGACTTTTCCACTGATATCTAAAGAACCACTAATTGAATTTTGATGAAACTCGATTCATAGATGCTCCGAACTAATGCCAGGTTTTGATTATTTTTGGTGAAAATTTGTGCATATTAATTACCTAATTTGCATAGTGATTAGTAAATCTTTGGCTTTTCCACTGATATCTCAACTACTTGGTACCTAGATGTCATAGGACTCTGCACAGACCTGGTAGTTTTTTGGGTAATATCAGTACATATTAATCACCTAATTTGCATAATTAGTTAATCTTTAGATTTTCACTGATATCTCGAGTACTAATCATCACCTTTAAATGAATATAAACTACAGAGAGCCAATTAGTTGTTGGTGTATATTTATGCATATTAATCTCCTAATTTGCATAATTAATCAATTTTCACACTGATATCTCAAGTACTAATCATCTCATTTCAATGGAACTTTGTACATAGATGCTCTAGGACAATGTACAAATATGTTCAGTTTTGGGTTAAAATCTGTTCCTATTAATTAGCATAATAATTTATAGAGTTTTGGTTCTGTTACATTGTGTAGACCTTATTAGTTTTACACTCAAATCTGTTCATTTTAAGTTTCTAATTTGCATAATCGTCTACAGCTTTTCCATCAAAATCTCAAGTACAAGCAATTTTGAATAAATATTTACTGTGTCTCTAATCCTCTCCGCACACAGGAGTTCTTTCTAAGCTTTCAATTTCTAATTAAAATCTTGCGTGTAAGGAATAGTTTTTGAACTTGGTCATCAGTTACATGTACTGGTAGTTCAATATCAAGTCACTTTCAATCTTTTCTTTTAGGTTTGAGGTTTCTGAGGGCTTTACGACTAATGCAGTTACCTGAGATCATGCAGTTCTTAACCATCTTAAAAACTAGCAACTCTATAAAATTAGCAAATTTATGTTGTACGTTATTCAGTACATGGTTAACTGGATCAGGTTTTATACATCTGGTAAGTGTGCAATCTTACTCACATTGTGCCATGACATTTTACCTGTTGTGTTCCTGGGTATTAAATACATGTAGACAACATCTTCTATTAATGTAATACGTGTCTGTGCAATATTGAAGTAATATATCTATCAGTGTTCTGTTTTAATGTATACTCAAAAAAATTTCTGAAATTTATTCTAAAAGTTATTCTCTGTAATTGGCAGATTGAAAGCCTAAAAAAGAATGAACTTAAACCCAAATTGAATTTTCATACATTTTGACAAATTTTCATCGTCTACCAGAAAGGGGCTAAATGCTATGGGGTAAATCACAAGTCATTGTTTCCATAGCAGCAAGTCTGGACATCCTTACTATTTATTTGATCTAATTTAAATTGTTTTATTAAACCTTTATACTCAGGAAAATAACAGGAATGTGCCTTTAAATTTTCCACATATTTATACTTGTTAGCCACGTTCGTTTGCAAACTGGAATTCATCTTTCCATGTTTTTGACATAGTTGACTACCACTACATGCATGTATTTCTATCAGATTTCATATTAGCCTTGTATTTATTTTTAACTTCCGAGACTAAACCCACCACATTGCATTAGCTGATTTCGTTCTGTATGTGTAGTTTTGCATTGAAAATCTCTCCACTGCTCTTCTAAGAAGTATAAGAGGTGTGCTTGTTTCAAAGTTATTTTGAGTAAACTTTCTGTTCAGAAATGTGACTCAATGTGTAAGAGAGTGTTCATGTACAAAGATTACTAATTGTGTATTCTTTATTCAACAGGTTGAGAATTCAGGAGACCCTTGGACTGGTTTCTCCAATGCACAGCCACTTACCTACTGGGAATGTTGTTATTTACTAATGGTTACTATGTCAACTGTTGGTTATGGTGATATTTATGCAGAAACAACCATGGGTAGACTTTTTATGACATTCTTCATCATGCTCGGCTTGGTAAGATATTTCTATGTACATTTTTTTTTTCAAAAACAAAATTGGAATGTATTAGTTTAGAAATACCATTCTTCAAAATGAGCTTCAATGTTCATATAATGAATATTGCTGTAGTCAGTGTGCCCTCTAAGATTATATCACACTCCACAGACACAAAAAGATTTGCTGTAATGCATAGTTATGGATTTTTTAAGTTTGTGAAATGAAATTCACATTTTGTTAAGAAAATTAGAAAAACGAAGAAAATCCAGGAGCAATTTTGTTTGTGCCTTACTTATACAGTCACAAACAATTTAATTTTTTCTTGAAGACTAACTTCCCCAGCAGTCAACAAACCGACTCAACTTGATTTGAGAAAATTTTGATTTTGTTGTTTGAGCCCTTTTAGAAAGCACACTGGCCCATGTTATGTTCAATACTTTCATTGCAGGATTTCCTGTGTGTTTATACAGCCTGTAGATACACATGTCACTATAGCCCTCTACTGGTGTATCAACATTGCAACTTTTATTTGATATGTTTACATAACTTTTATCCAACATCGCATCTATCTATGTAATTCAGTATTTCTCATTTTTGCATTTACTTCTTACTGCATGCCACAATATCTCATTCAATTATTCTCTTTGTTTGACTTAATTTCTCTCTATCAGTGTTATCTCTGAATTTTGTAACCCTTCTAAATCCTATTTTGTTTCATTCTTGTTGTTTTCTGTGTTTTTTGTTTCTCCCAATACACTGTGCTACATGTCATGTATGTATGCATGTTTGTATTTTACATCGATTAATTATGAATTCATTTTCAACATATCAACCCAGTATGCCCTTGATAGATGTATGCCAACTGGGTCTCTGTGATGAAAACTGCTATATCTTTCTCTATTTTGGTTTCTTTTCAGTGTTTTACTCTGCATAACCTTTCATATACAAAATGTAGCCCTGAGTATCTATGCTCGTTCCTGGTTTGTTTTGCTACTTCATGTAGCGTAACCAAGGTTACGTCAAGTGCTGGCTGTGAATTAGGAAATATATGAAAATGAGGACTGACAGCATACAATATGGCAGAGTATGCTGAATCAGTTGCCAAATTACCAAATTGTGACACTAGATCTATGCTTTTGATTTTGCATGGTTAACCTCTACACCACCAGACTTTTTTGCCTAAATTTGTTTGGAAGCAACAGACATAATTTGAGTTAATTTTGAGTTTTTACTCAAAAAATTTGGCTATTGTGCTTCTGAAGAAAAATACAGATTATAAACTGGACTATTTTGTGAATTTGTGATGAAAATAGGGAACTGGTGGTGAAAAGGACAATGAGTGTTTTCTTGTCTATAACGCTGTTCCGCACTAAAGATGAAACTACCGTCAGAACGAGCACAGATCAAGGCTGAAAACAATATCACTTTGTTTGCAAAAAATCTGCCTGACGAGAATTGACCTTATACTAGAATGTGACTGACCTTCACCTGTCACAAAGCATATGCTCAGTTGCCATAGAAACAAGAGAACTCAAAACGTCATATATTCAATGAAACAAAATAGGAGCTTATAGGATTATCAAATTCAAACGTATTTCACTGATTGGATGAGTTGAATATTGACTGTCATACAAAAACTCATCATAGGAGTTCGTCTTGAAGCAGTTGGGCACGGTGTGGGTCTCGTCTTCCCACCGGAAAAGAAAAAGCAAACAGGTCAGCACAAGCCCCATGTGGTATCTGCATGAGATATGCAAATGAGAGGAACAGGTTAACTAATATGCATAGCAATAGTATGTAAACTCTAAGAAAAGTGTGACTTCTTGCATGCTCTGTCAGCAGTACTGATCATTTTGGATAATTCGGCTTTCTGATCGCGACAAAAACATGCGAGTTTGGTGATCTCGAAGGCCGGATGTTCAGAGGTGCAATAGCTGTTGTAGGCTGCCTGTTTCATTCAGCTTCATAACTATGTTCTGTGAGAGTGCAAAGATGCCATAAAATAGTGTGCAGTTGAGCTTGTAAAAAATTCAATTCTAGAACTGAATTTCTTATTAACATATTAACAAGAAGAGTATATTAAAACTGATCTAATTTTGCAAGAGAAAATTGTCACTAGTGAGGGGAAATCACAAAATTTGGAAGTAGTGATAATATTATTTTAGGGAGCGAGCCATAATGAGTATTATGGAAGGAGAATAATTCACTAGGTTTAATTTTAGTGGATTGATGTTGGACAGGTATTAACTAAGTTTTACATTCACTCGTGTGTGAAGAAAACAATGCATTCTGTTAAATTTAATAGCTGTGTCTAGCTATCAGCAAAATAAGCGAAAAAATAAAACCCAGTTTTGATTAATAATTAATAAACCCTGTATGTAAAACTACCTTTTCAATTTATTTTCAAATCGCAAACTTTATTTAGTGGTGAAAATTTAACCAATTACACTGCAATACAGTCATCATATCTTAAATTCAATTCACCACATCCAACAAATTTAAAGCGCATCCAATCTATAATTATAACAGTGAAAAGGAAGAAAAGAACGTAGATTATGGTGTCTTGCACATGTCTTTATTCGCTGCTGAGATTCTCTTTCATCTTACCATATGTAGTTATAATCTTGATATTTCCTGGCTGCAATTTTTTACACCTATTAAAACAAGACTGACTGCTACCTCACCTGGTTCTCATATTATTAACTATTGAGAATAATACTAATATTTAATCTGGATGGTACAAGTGCCAACTCTGTGACGTTACTCACATGATACATGCACTTCACTGGCATCAAATTGCATGGCTTGTACATGTGACTTGAATACTCATTTCATTTCAAGTTTGGAATGAAATTTGGTTTAAATAATGATGGCTGACAGCTGAATAGGCAGGCTAGTAGTTCACACTGTTCATAGAGTAAATAGCCACTCATCATCGGTACTTTTACGGCACAGTAGCTCAGAAAAGAGAAACATTAACATCTAGAGACAACCATTGAAAACGAGAATGACAATGCTTTTGGAACAAACTTCCTGGTATTAATGTATCTGAAATGAAAAATGGTTTCAGTCAAGTGATTTGATATTTTTGTCAGTACTGATGATATGGGCTATGTGTATTTATAGCTATGCAGAGCATCGTCACCAATGCAGATAAAGATGAACTTTCTGTGAGACCACCTCATACACAATGTGTGCACTCCATTCAGTTTATATTAAACGAATCCTGTTATGTCTTAGCTTCTGAATCAATGTATATTATCATGAAAACCAGTTATTCTAATAACCAAAATTGAAACTGTTTTTGTAAATTTAACTCTCAGTTGTCTTTCCCATCATGGCTATGGTAGTGGATTATTAAAATATCTGGTAACCATGATAACATGACAATGTCAGAGATCACCCGCCAGTATGTTGAATATGTTTCCTCCATCCCATTGTTATTCCATTTTTTTGGTTACATAGGCCATGTTTGCAAGCTATGTTCCTGAAATTATGGAACTGATTGGTGGAAGAAGAAAATATGGAGGATCGTATAATGGAGAAGGTGGAAAGAAGTAAGCATTATAGGACAATGTGTACCCCCCCTCCCCGCTTCTCAATTATTTTGACTAATTACTAACAACTACAAATTTGATGAATTCTCTTATATTCTCGGGGGCGGACATCCGGGCATTTTCACCACATGGCAGCCATCACGGTGAAAACAATCGCCGAAAAGATTACCCCTGTGTGTGTAACGCATATAAATTTGATTGCTTAGGATTACTTCAAAGTTGAGTTCAAGGAATTATAATAATTATAATTAATTCAATTTAAGTTATTATTGAGCATGTGTGTACCTTGTTTACCAATACAATCATATACATCTCAAACCAACTTTTTAAATCTATTTGACTGAAGTTTAAAAATGGGGCTCAAATGCACAAAACATCATTGGTTACATTCATCCGGTTTTCATTTGATTTTGCAAGCTACATTGTAGGTATGGATCTTTTAAATGGCCAAGGCTATAATAGTTGCACTATGTTTTATTAAATCACAGACTTGTCCTGATTTCAGAAAATCCAGTATTTTTGTCATATGGGCAAGGCCATAATAGTTACACTATGTTTTTTTTAAACTTGTTCTGATAAAATAATATACAGTTGTTCATCATATTGGCATACCCATGATAGATTCACTACTGTAAATTACTTTATTTTCGCTGGAATTAATTTTCACTGAAAAGATTTTTGGGTGTTTTTATGGAAACTATTTTCACTGATTTTTGAAAAGTTGAATGTAAAATATAGGAAAAAAAGGTATACTCGCTGGATTTTATTTTCATTAAATCATTCTTTCAGCAAAAAAAGCGAAAATTAATTCCAAGCGAAAATAAAGTATTTCACAGTATGTCTCAAAATTTGTGTTTACTTTTTTACCTAGGCATGTAGTTCTATGTGGCCATATCACATACGGATCAGTCTCCAATTTTATTAAAGATTTTCTTCATAAAGATCGAGATGATGTGAACGTAGAGGTAGTTCTTCTGCACAAGTAAGTCTTAAATCGTTATGAATTTTTAGAAGTTCTCTTAATATTGTGTTTTGGAGCATGACAAGTATAGTCCGCATCACATTGAGAGCAGCTTTATTATCTGTGTTCTGATTGGCTAACTCTTGTGTAAACATTTTCAGGGCTGACATGCGGTATTCTATAAAAAGACATTCAGCTCTTTCCTTGAAGTGGTCTTTATATTATTGTGTTGTGGAGCGTGACAAGTTTTGATCAAATGTAGTAGTCGGGCGGCATCACGTTTCCATAATCAAGCTGAGAGAGCAACTTCAACATTTGTGTTCTGGTCTGCAAACTCGTTAGCAAACACATTTTGTGCTGATCAAATTGTATTAATATATAAAATGATGTTCAGCTCTTTCCTGGATTAACTGTCACATGCTTTTTATTGACACCAATGTTTTAAATTATGGACTTATTTAATGGCATCACTCGATATCAGAACCTATGGTACATTGCACTTCAGTGTTTGGGTTGAGTCGCTGCCTGTGATTAAAATACACACAACATCTGTTATATTGATGTGCATGGAAATATGTGTTTGTAGAATATATGTAAAATGAAATGTCTCCATCATTGAAATCTCAAATGTCATAATCTGCTGTGACAACATCACCCATAAGTTGTTTTATTAACACATACATACATGCGTATTTAATAAAAACATCAGCATTATCGTTAAATGTGAGCAACCAGTTCTTGCAAACCAGTCACTGCACATGTACATGATAAGTTAACAAGTGCGATGACCTACACATGGCATGGGACCCACATCAATCAAACATTTCAGTGTTGAATCAAGATATGTTCTTTATTTGTTAATTCTTTTTCTGTTTCTTCTGTATTTTTAAGTGCGGAACCAGACTTGGCATTAGAAGCTTTTTTCAAGAGACATTTTACACATCTACAGTTTTACCAAGGTTCTGTATTAGATTCTACAGATTTAGAGAGAGTTAGAGTAAGTGAACTATCGTTGAATTTATACATGAAAGGCTGCTGAGATCTCATTGAGAGTGAGAGTGAGAGTGAGAGTGAGAGTGCTACGATCTGGACCTATATAACCATGGTATCTGGATCAGTGGACATTTTGACAAGAAAGGATACCGTAGAACACTATTCAAAGAACCAATCAAATCTTGTCTCTCTCAATGATATCTTGGTCGGATGGCTATTCACGTCTATGATTTATTCATTATCATATACCAATAGTATCTGAATTACTTTAAGTGTCTGCTTTTCTATCAAATTTTTTTCTGACCTATTAAATGATGTCCTGTCAAGTATCATTGTAGCCCAATTGATGCATCACGGCATGTTAACAAGCCATATGTTCATAATATCCTTGGCACAATTTCTCTTTGCTCACCCATCTAGATTTAGAAATTTTGCATGTTTAAACTAGGTAAGGATAGTCTGATATATAATCAGTATTACGCACATTGTACATAACAGTTTTTTCTTAGAAATAATTTTTTTTACACCTTTAATTTCATGTCGATGCAATATTGTTGATATTTGTTGTATTTCAGTTGAAAGTAGCTGATGCATGTCTTGTACTAGCCAACAAGTACTGCGTCGACCCAGATCAAGAAGATGCAGCCAATATTATGAGAGTAATATCTATCAAGAATTACCATCCAAAAATACGAACTATTGTACAGTTACTACAGTACCACAACAAGGTAGGAAAATGACTACGCATAATGTATTTGTACATGTGCTTTTAATACATGAATTCGCTTTGTTCTAATATTCAATAACTTTAATGTCAACAGAAAATTACCCTACATTGATAATTTTTCTCTTAAATTTGTTTCAAATGTTTTGATCAAGACCTGTAAACTGTAAGAAATTAGGTCAATATTTAGTAAAAAAAATGATGAAGAAAAGGTACATGCAAATTTAGTGAATTTGGCAATTTTGGTGTTCAAAGGTGATTTTAAAACAGCCAGTGTGAAGTTGGTTCATTGGCTACACAATCAAAACATTGGCTTATATGGTCCTCTATTAGGAGGAGATGCACCTATTATTTTTAGCTCCGCTGTCGACTTTGTCGAGCGGAGCTTATCATATGAGTGATTGTCCGTCGTCGTCCGTGTCAATGTTTTACTTTTTCGACTTCTTCTTGAAAACTACAAGCCTGAATGCTTTGATACTTGGTGTATATGTACCTTGGGTAGACCTCTCTTAGGTTTGTTCATTTCATGTTGATATCTTCAATTCTCTAATTTTGGTGAATATTTTTGTCATTTTTGGTAAAAAGTGATATTTTCGACTTCTTGTTAAAAACCGCAAGTGCAATTACTTTGATATTACATATATAGGTACTACATGTGGACCTCTCTCAGATTTGTTCATTTTGTAATGATATCTTTAATTCTCTAATTTTGGTGAATATTTTTGTCATTTTTGGTAAAAAGTGATATTTTCGACTTCTTGTTAAAAACCGCAAGTCCAATTGCTTTGATACTACATATATAGGTACTATATGTGGACCTCTCTCAGTTTTGTTCATTTCGTGATGATATCTTCAATTCTCTAATTTTGGTGAATATTTTTGTCATTTTTGGTAAAAAGTGATATTTTCGACTTCTTGTTAAAAACCGCAAGTCC